TTGGATAATGGAAGACACACAAACCATGATAAGAGCCTGATTTTTATTTCCTCTGGGAAATGGAGAGGCTGTGAAACATTTAAGCAGTGGCATGCCCAGGTAAGTGTTTTATACCCACACAGTGGAAGCTGTGAAATTTACCCTATTATATAAATTTACTGAGGGCCTGCGACATGCCAGGCTTTAATTCAGCAGTGAACAAAAGGAAACCTTCATTTGCTTGAAGTGTAGTGAGTGAATCTATGCTCAAATAAGCAAGACTAAAAACTATCAGCACAGAAAAAGGCAGTGGTAAAACTTTGTATCATTAATACCAACTACTAAAATACCTCTGCCATCTTTGTAACCACTGTAATATGTTAGGTAAAAATAAAATCTTTCTCAACATCATGAGTCATCAGGGAAATGCAAATCAAAACCACAATGAGATGCCACTTCACACCCACCTAAGATGATGATAATCAAAAAGACAGATAATAAATGTTTACTAGGATGCAGAAAAACTGGAATTCTCATGCACTGCTAAGTGGGAATATAAAATAGTGCAGTACTTTGGAGAACAGTCTGCCAGTTCCTCGAAAGGCTAAACGTAGTTACCACATGACCCAGCAGTTCTACTCTGAAGTGTATACCTAAGAGAACTGAAAACATGTCCACCCTGAAAGCTGTACAGAAATGTTCACAGCACCATTATTTGTAACAGCCAAAAAGTGGAAATGTCCATCAACAGATAAATGGATAAATGGAATGTGGTATATCCACATTATTCGCCAATAAAAAGAAATTAAATACTTACACATTCTACAATATGAATGAACCTTGGTTCATTTCACTGACCACCATTTGGTCAGTGAAAGAAGCCAGTCAACAAGGGACCACATAATGTTACATGAAATATCCAGAATAGGCAAATCTACAGAGACAAGAAGTAGATTAATGATTGCCTTGACCTGGCAGGAGCTGGAAGGTTGGGGGGTGACAACTAAGGAGCACAAAGTTTTCCTCTGGGGTAATGAAAATATTCTAAATTTGATTGTACTCATGGCTGCACAGCTCTGCGAATGTACTAAAAGCCACTGAATTATACATTTTAAATGGGTAGACTGAATGGTATGTGAATTACATCACAATAAAGTTGTTTTTACAAAATTCTAATCATTAATGATCTCTTCAAAATCCTTATTCCTCTTTCCTCATGAAGCCGAATGACATTTTTCCCAGCAAAGAATGTGTAATAACACAAGAGTGCTAGACAAATACTAAGGTTCAATTTTCTACTGGCAATTCTTTTTTCTAAAAAAACTAATCTTCTACTTGTTCAGCAGAAAACAATTTATTTCTAGGCTATCCAAATAAAAGAAGAGTAGCTTTGACCCCTTTGGCACAAAAGATAAGTTAGTTTCTCAAGAACATCAAAGGCTAATAAGTTTTTCTATCTGATTAATCAGTTTCATCTTCTATAAGTTTTCATCTAAATTATAAACTATTGGAAGTAAAATGAGGAAGAAAGTAGTTATATTTCAAGTAAGAAGAACTGGCTCTAAACTCTTCTGTGTAACAGCCATGTGTCCTCAACCAAATCTTTAACTTCTCTTAGCATTTTTTTAATCTGCAAATTCTGAATATATCAGTTCCACCAGTGTCTCGAGATTTTGGTTAGGATCATATAGTACTTGCTAACAGATTCTAAAATTGTTCATCACTCCAATGTAAGCTAGTAAAATCTGGGACACTGGTTATATAGTAATAACACCAAATGTTTGGTGACTTGAACTAGAGAGGTCCAGAGGCAATGAAAGTCAAAAAGGGAAATAAATAATGTTAAAATGTCAAAACTCTTGGGGGTGCCTGGGTGGCTCAGTCGTTAAGCATCTGCCTTCGGCTCAGGTCATGATCCCAGGGTCCTGGGATCGAGCCCCGCACTGGGCTCCCTGCTCCGCAGGAAGCCTGCTTCTCCCTCTTCCACTCCCGCTTCTTGTGTTCCCTCTCTCTCTGTCAAAAAATAAATTTAAAAAATTTTATTTAAAAAAAAAATTAAAAAAATTTTTAAAATGTCAAAACTCTTGGAAGACAGGGGACACCTTCCTTTATAATATGCAAAACTATGAGTATGAAAAAATTCTATATGTAACATTTACACCCACATTTTAATTAGGATTTCTGAAATATACTGCCACAAAAATGAATTATTTGTTGTTAATAATTTTAAACAAGTTATAATTGCTGACAGTTCTAAAGTTGATGTTAAGGTAGTACTTCAACCTTTATTTGCTTGTAACCACACTCCTATTAGCCCAGGAGTCCGAGAAGTTAAACACACTGCTAAGGATACCAGATACTGGAAGAGAATAACACACTGAAAATTCACCAGTTAAAAAAGGGAAAGTTATTTGCATGTGGACATAAGTGAATGTGTATTCATGCAAACAGTAAGTGAGTTCCAAGTGATCTGGTATGTTAATGCATTTGGCTGACTACCAGCCCAAGTTAGTTTTCCCATCCTCTTATATTTTATTTTTTCACTCCTTAGTCTAGTATTGTGGGAAAAACATACACCGGCATGCTATTCGGCTTTACTGCAAATATATGTCTCCAACTTGAGCTGGGGTCCCATGGTTATTTGGAAAATCATTTTTGTCTCTAGTCTTTGCTTTCTTATACTTTCTAGGGCAGCTATAAGCATTTAACATTTATTTTCTGTAGGCCTCTTTCCTATCACCTCCAAGCCTCATCTGTACCAATAAAGAAAACAGAAGCCATAGGATGTGTTTTCCTTCAACCTCACTTACAAAACTTAACTATAATAGTATCCATCCTGCAATCATTCATCAGAATAGTAAATAATAATGTGATTCATTGTTTATTGATCATCTGCCATATGCCAAACAGTGGGCTGAATACTTTATATAGAATAATTTAGATCCTACAATAATCTTAACAAGTACTTTTGATCCCATTTTATACAATCACAGGAGTGAAGTTCAGTGAGCTTAGTAACTTGTTCAAGGTCTGTAGCTAATGAGAGGTAGAAAACAGATGTGAATCCAGGTCTGTCTATAACTGTGTCACCATGCCTGTGAAAAGTGTTCTAATGCCTCCACTTCTACACAGGGACACCACATTCATAAATTATTTTCAATACTGTATGATGTCTCTCTTTCCTAACCAGTGCTGAGAAAAGATATCTAAATTGCTATACTTAAGTAAAAAACATGGCTAATGCACTCTCTTTTCATTTAAAAACAATTTTTTTTTTTTTTTTTTTTTAGAGAGTGCTCATGCACATGCATGAGCAGGGGTGGGGAGATGCAGAGGCAGAGAGAATCATAATCAGGCCCCACGCTCAGCATGGAGCCCAACAAGGGGCTCAATCTCACGACTTTGAGATAATGACCTGAGCTGAAATCAAGGGTCAGATGCTTAACTGACTGAGCCACCCAGGTGCCCCTAAAAATATATTTTTAATAAAAGCATATATATGTTATTTACATTAATAAAATTTTTTGAAAAGATTTATTTTAGAAAGAGAACAGGAGGAAGGGGCAGAGAGAGAGGAAGAGTGAGTCCCAAGCAGACTCCGTGCTAATAAGCATAGAGCCCAACGCAGGGCTAGATCTCATGACCCTGAGACCATGACCCTCATGAGCAGAAACCAAGAGTCGGACACTTAACCAAGTGAGCCACCCAAGTACCCCTAAAATTTTAACTTAATGTAAATAAGTTAAAATGTTTTAGATCTACTTAAAGACGTGGGGTTGAAAAATTGACTTCCACTGAGTTTTTAAGAAAAACTTAAAATATCAATTTACGCTGGTAAGTTATTCATCTACAGAGTGGAAAAAGAAAGATGAAATTTCCAGTTTCTTCATTTCTCTAGTAATTTCTCACTTTGGCAGAGATTCATTCCTTCAAAGGTAAAAGTGGTTTAGCAACATATGCAGGAAGAACCTAATGCTTTAAGAATTGTGTCCTCTCTTTAATGGCCCTGACACAGGTAGCCCTAATTGGCATCGTTAAGTCTTCTCACATAACTTTTAATAAAACTTCATCAGTCTCAGTCTTTAATGGCTCATCAAGGCACATGATTTATGGTGCTGTTCACATAGAAGCCTAATTCCCTACATCCATATATCAAACCCTTTATTCTTCAGCTGTTAAGAATTACACTGTAAGCACCCTGCGTTTAAGTACTAGAGTCTGTCTTGTTCAATATTGTAACTCCAGCACCCACACAGAGTAGATGTTCAATAAACATCTGTTGTAATACATGGTGGCAAGAGAACAAGAGACTACTGTTTAATCTGCTGCACCTTTTGACAAAATTTCCCTGAACAGTTACATCAATCTATCGTTTTGATTAAAGTATGATATCAAAATCCAGAGCCTATTATAGTTTTAAGCTTTAACATAAGATTAGTTTGCTTCTATAATACTTAGTTGGAAAATATTTCAAAGCATTTTAAAAACATTTTTTTCATCTCTTTTGATTCAAAATAAGGCAAATAGTGATCAAGGAACAATTTGTGTGTTTTAAATTTATATATACATATATAACAATATATTTTTATATAGCTTAATCTATACCTTTGAAGAGTGGGTTTTCTTTCATTCAGTTCAGAATGTAGCCTCTTAAATCCAGAAAGGATGTTAATTATGTCTGCAGTTCATAAACACCTTGTCAATCACTAATACAATTCAAGAACTCCATACATATTTATTGCCGCATTCATTTTTAAACAAATATTGCAAAAGATTACAGAGTATGAGAAATGTCACCTAAATGCTAAAACCCTGTAAATATCAATTCATAATGGTAGGTTCCTTGTCTATCATTAAATATCAGCTTCTTGTCCACTTTCAATTTTGCTGAATGCCACCCACTTATAAATTAACTATAATGATTCAAAATACCCAGTTACATTTTTCCTATCATTTCTCAATGTTTCTCCCATCCCCTAAAATCAGGATTTGAAAATTAAACGTAAGAACAATTTACAGACCTCCATCCATCCTTTTGGAGATAACTGAAGGCTCCATCCACAACACTCGCAAAGAACTGGCCTCCGGTGATGAAGAGGGTATTGATGGTGACTAATCGACCTCTTAAGTTGGGCGGGGAGACCTCCGCAATGTACACGGGCACTGTCATGGAAGCAATGCCTGTGAAGAAACAAGGAAAAGTCAACAGAAGGCACTTATTCACGATTTCTTTGTTGTTATAAATACTGATGCTAGACAAAGACACAGAGACACACCCCTGGTTTTTTACTTTAAACAAAGGTTTACCAGATACTTAAATATTTTGTTTATAACTAGTGACTATTGCAGGTAAGTTAAGACATAATGTGGAGATACCCATTTTCAGATTATCACTTGAAAGCCTACAAATGAAACTACCTTTAGAGCTCTCAGATAACTTTAGAATGTATATAAAGCATGTTTTGTAATTTTTGTGGACTAAAAATAAGAAAATGCTCTCTAGATAGGATATAATTATCAAAATATTTTTAGTCTATATGGAAATGTAATCAGACAATGATGAGAATAAAAATTATCCTAGGAGCATATTAACTACTCAAAAAGTCATCATTTCCAGCAGATACACCAAAACTCTTAATTGGCTTACTAATAAAAAATCCATATAGTAAGTCACCCTGTTCGACTGGCTAGGTATAGATTTCTGAAATAGCTTACAATGGACAATACTTTGGTAATTTAGAGTCCTTAAGAACAGATGATCTTAACCACAAAATAGATGGTTTTATGGCTAAGGTATATTTGATTATACCTGCTTAAAATCTGTTTCTATCTGAAATTAATGCAGCATAACCTATGGTAGTAGTTCCAGAACTTCACTGATCACTAAATCACTTCTGTAGCCTTTTTTTTTTTTTTTTTAAATAAGGATGCTCTCACCTTACCCACCCCAGACCTACTAAATAGAAAACTAGAGATGGGAGATGGGTCGGTCTTTTAAAAATCCTCCAAGCAGGGAACCCGGGTGGCTCAGTCCGTTAAGCGTCTGCCTTTGGCTCAGGTCGTGATCCCAGGGTCCTGGGATCGAGCCCCGCATCAGGCTCCCTGCTCAGCTGAGAGCCTGCTTCTCCCTCTCCCTCTGCTGCTCCCCCTGCTTGTACTCTCTCTCTTTCTCTCTCCGTCAAATAAATAAAATCTTTTAAAAAATTTTTTAAAAAATAATAAAATAAAAATCCTCCAAGCACTCCTGATGCTCACCATGTATTTAAAAAACTACAGTTCTATTATAGTCCACAACTTTAGGCTAATCTAAAATTATTTCTTAAAAGAAAATCTTGATCTTCTTGGCCATATCTAGCTCACTTCTCAGTGGTACTTAAAATTTCCAGGTAGGTCTTATTCTGTAATCTAAAACTAATATCTAATCAATACTTGTCAAAAGCTAAGTGAAAAAAAAAATCAAGCAGGATTATCTAAGAAAATGTAATCTTCTTCTACCTGTAGATACTATAAATCGATCTCTAGATTAAGTCAGAACATCAAAGGGTTATGTAAGATACCATGGAGAACTGCTTTTAATGAGTTAATCATTATAATGCCAAAAAATAGCCCATATTGAAGGTAGCAGCACCTGTTGATGTGTTTTCTGAACAAGGGCTGCTGGTGGTGCTATTTACCACATTGCAGATAACAGGAGATATTTGTCTACAGTCTCGGTAACTACAACAGTTGTGCTCCCTCTCTGTGTTTATGGGCACTATAAATCACACAGCGGTCTTTTATTTCCCTCTTTATTAGGCAGAGATGCCCACCTCTACACTAAGTGTTTTGGACTTCATGGTATTTACTCTGTGAGCTATATTCCCTCCTGATGTCAAAACTGTCCCCAATTTCACCTGTTTTAAATATGTTTTGCCATATTTTTATTTACTTGGTTCCATCTTGGAACCAAGCAAATACATAGACAGATAAGATTTATTTAAGTTAATATATATCTGCTTCTGTACTATTGAATAACTACTAGTAATAACTGCACACAAGTCAGACCATTAAATCTCAGAACTATACACTCTGTAGTTTCCACAAGTATTATTTGCTGCTGTAGTGCCTATCAATATATATAAATATACATGAAAAGAATCAAGATTTTATGAGTTTCGTAAAATAAGCACATGTTAGTAGACAAAGTATGAATAGTCTTTACAATTAAATCCTCACCTAAACAGCTGGAAGTTTCCATCTGACTGCTAATCAATTTAAGAGAACATATCATACTAAATTGGCTTTCATCTAACTTGGAAAGAGGAAACATTTGATGCAAATGTTGACAAATTAATTGTATATTCTTTTTAGTTCTTTTACAATTAGAACATCTCAATAAGATTCCAAAAATCAGACAACAGTAATTGTCTGGATTTCTTTTCCTGCTGGTCTGGCTGTAACAGGAATTCAGTTGCTCTCTTTAGCCAGACATCTTGACTCAGGCAGGCAGCCCATAGATTTAAGCATGGGAAATCAGGACTGTGGTTTTAGGCGGCACATGCTTGTCACAAAGCCCATAGATTTTACCTGAGAGAAATGTAGAGATAGCCTCAGGCAGGTCTTATAAAGGTTAATTATTAAAAATAAACACCAGGACCTTGAAAAGTAACAGGGAATGGCAAAGAGAAAAGACTGAGGGAACTATAAAAAGACAGACTCATTGGATTTAGAATTGGAAAGAAACCCAAAAGATCTGTTAAAGGAGTACTCACATGGACTTAACAGTGTTACAATTGCCTGCATTTGATATTTCACAGGGACTGATTATTTTCTTAAATCCTCACAACATCCCTATAAAGGACATATAATTATCCCCATTTTGCAAAGAAGGACCTTACCCCAGGTCAGATGATGATAAGCAAAGGAACCAGAATTAGACCCAGACAGAGAGATTCCAGAACCCAATTTTGAAAATTCTAGATGCTACTGACTGGCCAGCACAGATGAGGGTAGGCTCTGGAACAATGGGTTTAAATTCCAGCCTCGCCACTCCCCAGCTGGTTAAGGCTGTACAAATTAACCTTTTTGGGTCTCCCCCTCACCTATATAATGGGAAGAATAAAAGTAATTCTTTCATAGGAGTTGAGATTCAGTGAATTCATAGCGTAAAAGCCCTTAAAATTGTGCTTAGCATATGGAAAGTAGTCAATGTTAGCAATTATTTCTAGGATGACTATACCTCTAGTTATGAGGCAATTTAATTTTTTTTGATTCAGTCTGACTTGTTAGGTGCTGGCATTATCAGGACGAATATAAGTGAACAAAACAGGGTCTCTATTATAAGAGAAGCTATACACAAGCCCTGCTCACATAAAGAGGCAATCAAATAAATAATTTCAAAATACCATGGTAAGGGTCACAGTACAGCTACACACTGGGTTCCATCTTGTGATGCAGACAACTGCTGCACGCTGACATGATTAGATGCTAGTTTGGGTGGTGGCAGGGGGCAGGGCGGGGAACAATTCTACAGAGAAGAGCATGGCCTTAAGGAAATATGAAATGATACGGGATTTTCTCAGAGGTAAAAAATAAGTGTGAAGCAGTGTATGTGTGGAGAGAGGCAGACAGAGTCCAAATCATGAAAGCAGTATCCATTAATCAGTGAGTGTTCATTGCATACTTGATCTGAGCTGGACACAGTGCTGTAGGAGAGATATGTCCTCTGTCCTCATGGAGCTTAGCGTCTGTCAGCCAAAATGTGCTTGAACAAGTAATTAGATGTCAAATGTGATGGCTCTCACCAAAGGGGAAGTGTGAAGAACATGAGCTCGTAGCAAAGGGACTGGCCCAGCTTGATGAGTCAGATAATTCTTGGATGAGAAGGTCGTATTTAAGCAGAGATCAGGTGAATGAGTAAGCTAGAGCCTGATGACAGCGTGGGGAAGGTGACACACACTTTAGACAATCAGTCCAGCTTAGACAAAGGCCTTGAGGTGAAAAGAGATGCAACCTGTTGAAGAAGGGGGACTATTTCCAGAAACACAGACAAGAGACCAAACCTGACTATACAAGAGGCCATATTAAGGACCTGGTACTCAGAAGCCTTTAAATAGTATAATGGAAGAAAACACGCTACCAGAGTCATGTTTTTAAAGAGTCATTCTTTAGAGTATGGAAGACTGATTGCAGGGGAGCAGCAAGTACAGTGACAGCAGAGGAGATGGAGTAAAATGGAGAGATTCCAGAAGTCTGTATTTAGTATCCAGGCTAAAGGGAATTGGGATGGAACATGAAGGAGAGGAAGAACTCGAGGACTGATGTTCAGATGTCCGGAATAAGCAAGTAGGAGCCATGGTGGTTACTTGGTACAGAGATACAGGACACTGGAGGAGAAGCAAGTGTGCGCAGAAGGTAACAGGGTCAAGTTTTAACCAGGTTGAGTCAGAGGTGCTCTGTGAAACACACAAGTAGAGAGCAAGTAGAACACTCCCTGAGTGTGTCAGGAATACAGAATATTTACATGTGAGTGTTCCCAGCTTGCCTCATTTCTCCCACCCAATAACTCTGCCAAAATAACCAACTTTTCCTTCCTCTCTCATCCCCTAGGGAGAATCTGGTCTTTGTCACCCTGGTTCTTGAGCCATTACCATGCTAGGCAAAAAAGGATGGAGAAGAAAACATGGACCAAAGATCTGGTTTGCAGGGAAAAGTTCAAATGAAAAAAGACTGGAGAGAGCTGTGAATGAGAGCCTCAGGGTTGGTATGGAAAAAATGGGAGTCTTTAACAAAGGGACTGACTGAGGCCTGAATTGGGAGGGAAGGCAAAGGGGTAGACAACAGAGATTTTAAGAAATATTGCTATGTTATAACCTACATGCTATTATATTCTTCAAGACACAGAGTAATATTACTATTCAATGGCTTTTAGTTGCTAGACTATATATATTTAAAAGCAACATCAGAGTGAAACTGGGTCCAGTGGGCTTTGGAAGTTACACAAATATCTGAAGCTCAGAAGATAGTTCCGTGTGGATGGTGCACGAAATGGAAACCATGGGAATGGATAAGATCACCCAGAAATGGAAGAGGAGAAGAATGCCTAGAACTTAGTCCTGAAAAATTCCAGTATTTATGGAACTGTTGGAGGAAGAAGGTAAGAAGAAGCAACCAGTAAGCATCCACCTTACACTTGAATGCCA